TATTCTATTCTATTCTATTCTATTCTATTCTATTCTATTCTATTCTATTCTATTCTATTCCATTCCATTCCATTCTATTCCATTCCATTCTATTCTATTCAAAGGCAGCTGCATGGTTTCAGGATTAGCAGACTGCTGGACAAAGTATCTAGTTGGAATGTATATGGACCTCTCCTCTGCCTTCTAGGTCTAGCTTGCTGTGGCACAACTTAGACTGGTAAACAAAGATCTAAGAGATTAATTATACTAATTCCAGCTCTCCGTGGCCCACAGCAGATCAGCACTTTCATCCAGGATTAAGTCTTGGATAATAGATGCTTTATCAATAATTGCTCTGGCAATCCTTTTTCAACAGCCTCCTAGCTTGCCAATATTCCTTTCTGATCACAGTGGAGAGCTTTCATTTAGTTAGGCTTGATGTGCTTCCTTTCATCCCTTTGCAAGCACTTCTCTGCCCCTGTCGATTGGGGAAGCCAAATCAGTTGTTCATTTTTCCCTGCATTGGCCATTTCATCCACTTGACTCAAGGACTTGATTTTGCCTTTATTAACCAAGTACCAACAGGAATTCAGAAGACAATTTTTAACTTTTTAGCTGACATTTAGTTGACTTTTTGGAGCATTATTGTATGGCTGTAATTGTAATTATTGTAATTAAGTATATGTTTAAATAGCAATAGCACTTAGACTTATATACTGCTTTACAGCCCTCTCTAAGCAGTTTACAGAGTCAGCATACCACCCCCAACAATCTGGGTCCTCATTTTACTGACTTTGGAAGGATGGAAGGATGAGTCAACTTTGAGCCTGGTGAGATTTGATCTACCAAATTGCAGGCATCTGGCAGTCGATATAAATTCTCTCCCATTACAAAGAGCAGGATTTCCAAGTTAGAGTTTGATGGGGCCATCATCACTGCCACCTTTAATTAATTGCAATTTAGTTGTGTGTAAGGTTAGGAATGCCTTCCTTTAAGGTTTCTATCTTTTCCTCTCCTGCCAGTTACTAGCATAATTCACTACCAGTTTTCATGACCTGCTCTTTCTGACTTTCCTGGCACACCTTTTAATATCAGACCACAACTAACCAACAGTCCTGATTCCACCCCGCAAGCAGAACCCACAAAGACATAAAAAATGCTTATGTCTTCCTTGGTAGAATTTTGCAATTATAAAACAAAGGGAGAAATTCTTTGTTCTCACCATCACAGGCTTTTTACAGAATAGTTTATGTAATCAGAATTATAAGAAACCTGTTCTGGTTTGATTTAAATAATAATTACAGAGAGAAGAATTTGAAATAAATCCATGCTCAGTATTACTAAGTAATTTGTGTTTTGATGAAATAAAGGAATACAAAAGAGGGTTTATTTTATTTTATCTTTTTAAGTACCATGTCAGAAAGTTTTGAGAGAGAGGGAGGGAGAGAGAGAGAGAGAGAGAGAGGCTGCGCTGCCCACAGGGCCCGTGAGAACCCTCTCCACCCACTCACTCCTTACCCGGCAAACTTGCCTGCTAAATTGCTATTTTTCCTTTTTTCCGACCATCATCTGTTCTGCTGTGCCAGAGATTTAGATTAGCTAGGAAGCAGGAAATGGCTGGATTTCTTGCTTTCTAGCTAGTCTTTAGATCTTCGGCTCTGCTTTTAAGCACAGCCAAACCTCCCTTAGGACTGAAGGTTCTATTATTCAGTGCAGACTCATGGGAAGCAAATTTGAGAGACTGAGCTAGCCGATGGCAGATAGATAGATCACTGAATGATTCTGTGAGCAACTCAATCTGCCTGCCTGCTTTGCCT